AATGTTTTCTTATCCATTCAGCTACCCTATGTTTTTTTGATTAAAGCATTTAATCCATTTACTTTTAAGGTTATTATTTATTGGTATTTATTTATTGCAACTGTTTTTCTTTATGCCTGTGTTCCTCTCTCTCTCTCTCTCTCTCTCTCTCTCTCTCTCTCTTCTTACAGCATTCCCTTTAGTGTTTCTTGCAATCCTGGTTTGGTGGTAATGAACTTCTTTAACCTTTTGTTGTTGGTATCCCGGAAGCACTTTATACTTCCCCTTCAATTTTCAATGCAACACCAGAGCCTATCCCTGGCCTCCTGGCTCCTTGACAGAAGCCTCCCCTGGAGGCAGAGTCTTTATGTGCTCGCTCTGCATGTCTCCCTGCACCTGGGTGCTGTGGGACCAGGAAAGCAGGGGAAGGAAATCGTCCCTGAGCAGAACTTTGATTTCTCCGCGTGTCTCACCACAGAGCCGGGGTGAGCATTTCCAGCTCTAGGCCCTGAGCAGCGGAACAAGCAGGACAGGCTAACCCAGTGTCAGCAGGCGGGGGAGTGGTGCTGCCTGGCACTCGGGGTGGGCGAGACCCATCCTCCTTCCCAGGCCACATGGTTTAGCCCCTGCCTGGCTCTCTGCCCACAGTCCTCCCAGAGAACACAGCCCCTCAAGGTCACTGCTGAGCGCACTGGCAGACCCTCCACCAGGTGGCGTGGCCTGTGGACTCTCCACAGTCACAGACAGCAGCGAACTTCCCAGGCTGGTGGTGGAAGAGGAGCGCCCCTTCCCTGGCTGGTGCTGCCGAGTCTCCCAGGTGGACAGAATACCCACTGATTCCCACGCCCCAGGCCACATGGGCCCCTTCCTGTCTCTGTTGCTGTGGATTGGGGATCCTTACACGGGGCTGAGACCCATGCTCCCTGGAGGAGGGAGCTCCACAGCCACTATCCCTCCCCCGCCCCAACTTCCTGGCCACCAGCTGTATTAGGTGGCCCACCCTCTTTATGTCTTAACACCCCTACAGGCTCCTCCTGTCTTCCTTCATGCTCCTTGGTTATAATATTTCAGATCAGCTACACCTCAACTGCTTTTTCAAGCGATTGCTCTCTAATTTAGCTGCAAGTGTGGCCAGGGGCTGGGAGGAAGTGGATGGAGCACCAGCTGCTCTGCAGCCATCTTGGCATCTCCTCCAGTGCAGACTTTCATGCCAGCGCTGACTTACACAGGACCACCGACCACCGGGAGGCACTGTGCTCAGAAGGATCCCGAGGCAAAGGCCGGGCTCAGAGGAATAAGGCCGCTACAGCGCACAGCGGCAGGACATGCAGGAGGGAAGGGGGTAATTTGTCATCTTTGCTGTAGGCCAGCTGAGAAGTCTGGGCTTACCACATGCATCTTTGTTCCTGTCCACACTTACTTCACATCTCGCGTGCAATGTCTTTTTGGACACGTTCTGTTTTCCCTGAGTTTTTGGAAATATTATCTCTTAAATCCAAGCCTCTGTGGGTTTGCTTGGGGCCAGAGGTAAGGTTGCAGCTTCTCCACTTGACTTCCTTATTTTTGTTGAAGACACATCCCAATTGAATCTGAGCCTGAAGCAGGGTCACTAGAAAGTTGTTTGAATTGGGTGCACCCTTTTGGGAATTTCCCTAATCACTTACTCTCAGCTACCATCTCAGCTTAAGGCTGGTGGTAGCCATGTGGGCCCAATGGCTAGCACCTCCTTGATGGGCTTCAACAGGCACCTGGTGTCTCAACAGCGAGGTTCCCACTTCTTCCAGCTTCAAAGCTCATACTCCCTCTGAACTGTCATTCGTTTTCCGTTTCCAATCTCAGCGTCATTTAGTTCATTTACAAAACAGAGGGTGCCACTGCTCCTGAATGCAGCGGCTGGTCAGCTCAAGAACCTCCGGCCGTCGCTCCGGCCTACTTACCAAGGGCTTCTGAGTCCCATAAACTGTGAGCATGGTGTCCTTAGTGTGACCATTTGCGATACCCAGACCCCTGGCTGCGCAGTCAGGGTTCCCAGAACAGAGCCGAAGGGAGAGGGGGCCTCGGCGTCCAGAGAGCTGGGAAAGGGCCAAGACACGGAGGGTGGGAGGAAGGCAGCAGCATCTAAGATGAGGAAGTAGAGGCTCAAAGAAGTGGTCAGGGTCAGATGGCACCAGCACGCTGCAGGCAGACCCACGGGCCGTGCTGGGGCGGAGTTAGTGGGTTGCCATTGTCGTGACACAGACTGTTTCCAGATATCCCTTCCCTGGGCCACGCACTGAAGACCTGCAGTGCTGGCTGGGCATGTCCTTGGCCTCAGAGTGTGGCCTAGGGCTGGTGGTGATGGCTCTTTTAAAGTGAAAGTACTCTGGAAATTCAGAGAAGTGAATCCCTCCCTTCCTTACATCCTTCTTTGGGGACTGGAGGATCAAGAAGGGTCCATGGAAAAAGTGGTGTGTGGGGCGGGTCCCCAGAATGAGGAGGATTTCTCTCCCCTCCTCCTTCCCTCTTTCTTATTCTGTCCTGGGAGCCGCCTTCTTTGGCAGCACTGGTGTGGCTTGTGGTGAGGAAGAAAGCGGCTGTTCCTCTTGTCAGATACGTGGGAAGGAGCGTGTTTCTTGGACACGGCATTCAGGGGAACTGGTCTGCTCCTCGGTCAGGTGCTGCCCACAACTTTTTCCATAATTGCTCTGCAGGGAGCTCACAGCGCGCAGGACGTCCCCCCTCTAGGGCGCTGGCCCCC